GCTGCCCGCGCGAGCGATGCTGCCCGCGCGAGCGATGCCGCGCCGCGCTCTGGGTCCAGGACGAAGTCCCACCTCAGTCCCTCTCACCTGGCGTTGCAGCGTGTGGTCTGGGGCCACGCGATACGCCAGGCGCGGGGCACAGCGTGAGAGCGTTCAATCGTGCTAGAATGTAATGCGTATTTTTTCCTCGTCGCACCTTCCGGACGGTGATCCCCTGTGATCGGCAAGTTTCAAATCGTCCACGTTTGATTACGAACGGAGGTTACTGCCCCTGGACGCCTCCCGCACCACAGCCGGTGGTCCTCGCGCCTGAGCTGGTCGTTTCTTGGCCGGGTTGGATAAACCCGCGACAGCTCGTCCCGACCCTACCTAGCAGACTTGCAAGGTCTCAAGGCATCCGCTGGGAGGCCGCGTCCGGAAGAGCTGGCGCGGAAGAGGAATGGGGCTCGGGGCTCCGAGTCGGGAGCCCCTTCCCCCAAGCAAGAGGGACTCCTCCCCCTCTTCCTAGACGTGGGATACAGGAAGGGCGCGATTCCATTGGATTTGTTGCAGAGGAACGAGTAGGACCGAGCCCGAGCCCAAGCCCAAGGGCCTGGGGGGTAACGAGCGACCAGCGGAGGGGCTAGTGGCGGATTTGCTGCGCCCTAGAGAGGGCGAGGCGGGGCGGGGGGGGGTCCCCCGCTCGGGCGGGGCGCAGCGACGAAGGGGTTAAGGCGCCGCGCCCCGCCCCAACCCTGACATTGGCTGTCCCCGGGGGCGTGGCCTGAGGGCGGGCTCGCGTTTGCCGCAGCCGCTGGTGGGCGGGGCCCGGGCGGGGAGCAGGAGGGGCGCGGAGCCGATCCGGGCCCGCGCAGCGCGCCCAGCCGGGCGGGCTTCGGGGCTGCGCCAGGGAGCGGGACCGGTGGCGCCCGAGTCGGAGACCCAGCGCCGGACCCAGAGGCAGCGAGTAAGTGAGGCAAAGCCATCGTGGCATCCCTCCTGGCTCCGACCTGCCGCCGTGCCTCCTGCACTGCGCGGCAGGTCAGACCGGACTCAGACTGGGTAGGGGGCGCGTCCCGCTGCTGGGGTCCCAAGGGGGAGGGGAGCGGAGAGGAGGCCGATGATGTCATGGATGCTTCACCCGGCCTGGGGGGAGGTGGCGGCCGGAGGGGGTGCGGCTCGGATTATGTCACCTCTTCCCTCTGCGCCCCGCCCCCCGGGGCCACACGCGTTGGTGGGGAGCCTGGGGAGGTGCGGGCGGGATTTCCCCCCTGCAGGGACCCCCCAGGTCCTGTGGCCTGTGGCTGGGTTCTCTATCAGTTGGCTCTGCGGGCCGTGGGCTGCTGGTAAATGGCGACCCCCACCCCCAGCAGAGGCTCGTGTGTGTGCGCGCGCGTGTGAGTGCTCGGGATGTGGGGGGGGGCGCTCTCGGCCCCCTCAGTCCTGAAACACCGGCTTCATCAGAGCCAGGAGCTAGGTGATGGGCCCATTCCCTGGCCAGTGCTTAGGCCACCGAGGGAAGATGGATCTCCCCTCACTCATCCCAATCAAGAAGTTCTGGATATCTCTGCACCCCAAAAGCCCTGCACGCCCCCCGATCCCTTTCCTCCCTCAGTCCTGCTTCCTGGAAACCCCTCCTGATCTCCCTGCCCGGAGTCACTACCTCTTTGCATTGCCTATAACTAGCATCCCCACAGTCATTTGCCCTGTATTTCCTTGGTGCAGGGCCCAGAGACCCCCAGGACTCTGCTATCTGTGCCCCTGGGAAACCTACAGGCCAGCCCCGGGGAGGCCTCAGAGTGAAACCTCCTGGGGTGTTCTGAGCCAAGTGTTCCAAGACGCCCCCTCCAGAGGTTGGAGATCAGGGATGCTATCCTGAGGCCAGCGTTTCTACTGGTCTAAAAGCATGTAGGATGGGCACAGAGAGCTAGGAAGAGCTTGTGTGTGAAGTAGAGAGGGGCTCAGGTCAGGGGAGATGGCGGAGGGGCATCAGGAGAGACCTTGCAGACCCTGCTGCAAGCTTTGCTCTGGTTCTGGTGGCCAAGAGGAATACCAGGCGTTTTACCCATAATACATTTACTTCTTAAAATGCTTGTAAGGTAGGTGTGAGAACCCGAGGTGAAATAACCTGCATGAGGTTGCACTCCTAATCAGTCGAGGTGGGATTTACACTTGGAGCTTATGCTCCCAGACCTCTGTCTACTGTACTTGGTCCTGCTCATGGAAGGATTTGGACAGAGCAGGGACAAGATCAGCTTTGCCCTTTAGAAGGTGTCCCCAGGCAGCTGCCTGGGGGAGGGATTGTAGGAGAAGAAAGTCCAGTGAGGAGACCCCAGCTGGGGTGCTGGATGGAGGGGCTGGCTAGAGATTTTTAGGAGATAGAATGGGCTGGGGTTGGGGCCTCTCAGACCCCAAGTGTTCCTAGCTTTGGGAGAGACACAGGTTGGGGGTGGCGCTGGGTGGTCACCGTGGGTTGAAGGTACCTGTACATGTAACCTTCAGGTAGAGTCCGTTTGGCCCCTCCGTGACGCTAATACTGTATATAGTGCCGCAGGCACTGAGGGCTGAGGTGACAGAGATCGAGGCAGTCGGGCAACAGGCTGTCATCCCAGGGTGGTGCACTGATACCAGGAGGCTGCCTTTGCAGACCAAAGCTCAGTTACCTGGACCAGTTCAGGACCCTGACCTTTCCTCTCTGTTCAGTTCCTGCTTATCAGGGAAACATCCCCTTCCTTGTCCTGCCAATGCCCTGCTGGGATTTTGTGGAAAGAAGGTGCAGCAGCTGAAGCTTAGGAGAGACAAGGGGCAGGGCATGCTTACAAGGGGTTAACCATGACAGGTTACAATTATGGCAAGAAGCTCTTTAGGGAGTGAGGCTCCAGAGAGAGCTTCTGTGGGTTGACAGTCAAGCATTCCCCAGGTAGAGCATGGAGAAAGGAGCCTCAGGACAATGGTCCTGGGACCTTGTCTCCATCCATGACTCTAGGTGTCTGAGACTGGCTGGGGACTACACACATTGTAGAGAAACAGTAGGGCATAGTGGCATACAACTAGCCCCAACCTATGCTCAGATTGTCCTGTCCCGATCTCAGAGAAGGTAGTACTACATGTTTGTACTGCCCCTTATAGTTTACCAAGCACCTTCCCAGACATTATACCCTGTCACTCAAGATCACCATGATCACCGTTGAGGTTTATTTTTGCCCAGACCCAGGTCTCTGGTGCAGCCATTTTGCTAGCCCCTTGCCTAGATCTTTCACCTCACTATTGGCACCTTCCCTCGGCATATTAATACACTCAGGTTTCTACTACCACGATTAATTTTAAAATCAAAAAGCCCTTGAATCTCAAACCTCCTTAAATGACTCCCTTCTCTTTTAGCAGGAACTCTGTCATCTTTCTCTGCACTCCTCTAGTCTTATGGACTGCCTTTGTTTTGTACCACTTTTGTTTTGTTTTGTTTTGTTGTATTTATTTGTTTCTTTTAAGAGGGAGTCTCGCTCTGTCACCCCTGCTGGAGTACAGTGGTGTGATCTCGGCTCACTGCAACCTGTGCCTCCCAGGTTCAAGTGATTCTCCTGCCTCAGCCTCCTGAGTAGCTGAGACTACAGGCATGCCCAGCTAATTTTTTTTTTTTTTGTATTTTTAGTAAAGATGGGGTTTCACCATGTTAGCCAGGATGGTCTCAATCTCTTGACCTTGTGATCCACCCGCCTTGACCTCCCAAAGTGCTGAGATTACAGGTGTCAGCCACAGAGCCTGGATTTTTTTTTTTTTTTAGACGGAGTCTCAGTCTGTCTCCCAGGCTAGAGTGCAGTGGCAGGATCTCGGCTGACGGCAACCTCTGCCTCCCCAGTTCCAGTGATTCTCCCACCTCAGCCTCCTGAGTAGCTGGGATTATAGGTGCGCACCATACCCAGCTAATTGTTTGTATTTTTAGTGGAGATGGGGTTTCACCGTGTTGGCCAGGCTGGTCTCAAATTCCTGACCTCAAGTGATCTGCCTGCCTCAGCCTCCCAAAGTGCTGAGATTACACATGTGAGCCACTGCATCTGGCCCTTGTACCACTTTTCGGAAACCATTCTGACATAGATATCAGCGATGTCTCCAGCTCCCAAATCGCCAACACATTCTTCAATCCCAATGTTACCTGGCCTTGTTATTTTTAACACTGGAAACTGTCCCCACATTCTTGAACCCCCTCAATCTTGGCCTTCGGGTCTACCTTCTTTCAGCCATTTTCCTGCTCCCAGAGTTCCTCCCAGACATCTGGGCCTTTGCTCCTTGTCTCAGTGCTGGGCCCCACCCCCAGCACCCTTGAAAACTGATGATCTCAATCTCTCTCCATCTAGTGCTTTTTTTTTTTTTGAGACAGTCTTACTCTGTCGCCCAGATTGGAGTACAATGGTGCAGTCATAGCTCACTGCAACCTCCGCCTCCAGGGTTAAAGGGATTCTTGTGTCTCAGCCTCCTAAGTATCTAGGATTACAGGAGTGCACACCACGCCCAGCTAATTTTTGTATTTTTATTAGAGACAGTGTTTCACCAAGTTGGGCCAGGCTAGTCTTGAACTCTTGGCCTCAAGTGATCTGCTCCCCTTGGCCTCTGAAAGTGCTGGGATTACAGGCATGAGCTACTTCACCTGGCCTCCATCTAGTGCTTGAGAGGTATGTTCCTCTGTTGTTTCCCAAAACGCCTCTTTTCCCCGAGCAGTGTCCCCTATGTTAAAAGTGTCACACACCACCGTGGTACCCAGTCCAGAGTCCTCCCTTGTCCCTACCGCCTGACCTCATCTGTATGAAATTTTGCCAGTTCTTCTTTCCCAAACCCTGCCCAGGCTTTCCTACTGGTTTGAAGCTTCAGGCCTTTCAGCTTTCATCCTCCCAGTCCCCAGCTGCTCCCTACATTGTACCCAGAGATGGCAAGGGAAGGGGGGCATATTTAAGGTAGGAGGGGGTTGCAGAGCTGAGGCATAGTGGGCTGGAGTATGCTGGGGAGTGGAGGCAGAGCAGGGACTAGAGTGAGGCCAGAGAGGCACCCAAGTCACCAAGGGAAGGAGACTATCACCCTCAGGGCTGTGCGCTTGCTGATTGCACCCTTCACTTGTGCCCTATGTGGCTCTCTGGTCTCACCCTAGTCCTGGCCCTTGCTTATGGGGACAGACGGGCCCAAAGGAGGAAGGTGGCAAAGTGCTCTTCTCCACACCTTTGGGGACAGACGCTGAGAATGGAATTCTACAGAGTTAGTGCTCAGGCTTGGTAGTGAACTTTCCAACAACCTAGGACCCTCATTCCTGGTGTGGGGGCCAGAAGACTCCTGAAGGACAATAGTTTTGTCAGGTTCCCTTGGTCTGGGGCAAGGACATAGCATTAGCACTGGGCAGCTGGGTAGAAGATGGTCTTTGGGACCACAGGGTGCCACGTGGACCTCTTAACCTTGAAGGGAAGGAGTAGCAGGAAAAGGTCTGAAGGGCGTCCCCTCCCATTTGCCACACACTTATTTGAGGGTCTAACCCAAGGCAGACACTGCCTGGTGCCCCTTCCCAGCTTCATTATGCAGATCTCTGGGGCCAGGTGTTCCCAGGTGCAAACCTGAGACAAAGGAACGAGGAAGCAGGGCCTCCCTGAGCACAAGTAATCCGAGGCCTGGCTCCCCCCTGCGCCTGTGGGCCGGCTTTGGTGGGGGGGGGACGCACACCCACAAGAAGGGCTCAGAGGGCTTCACAGTAAACTGATCAGGGTCAAGGTCCACAGGGAGCGGGAGAGGGGAGTAATCCAGGAAGTCTTCCTGGTGGCAGTGAATTCTTGGCGGGTTCGGCATACGCTGGATCCTTGGGGGCACTGCAGAGTAAGCGGCCCCGCCCCTCCCCCCGCCCACCTGTGAGAAACGCAGGCCCGGAGGGAGGCTCGGTCAGCTGGCGCCACTGCGTCCCCTGCCCGGCCTCAGCCAGCCCTGAGACCTCTGCGGAGGGCTGATCCCGGGAAGGGGGCCCTCTCTTGTCAGGGCCCTGGTGCGGCAGAGCTGGGAAGACCTCCGGGAGGGCGGTCCTGCCACCTGCTGCTGCCGCTGCCTCCGTCCGTCCGTGGGGGACAGGGCATACCCTTAGCGGCGCCCACCCGCTACCCAGATGCGCGCCGCCTACCCACCCTCCCCAAGTCCCCCGTTTCCTCTGGCGCCCGTCGTCTCGGGGCGCCTGGCACGCAGCAGCCCCGCAAGGTAGGTCCTTCATTCCTCCCATTTCGCAGAGGAGAAAACTGCAGTCCAGGATGGCTCAGTCGGCCCCTCCAAAGTCGCGCAGCTGGTTTGGGCCGAGCCCCGACTGCGAGAGTGAGGCACATGGCCCCTGCAGACCGGGCCTCGGAGGGTCCCAGGCTTGAGGATCCGTCGGCCCCTCACCCCCTTGGAAAGGCAAGGAGAGAAGCCAGCGCTGGTAGTGAGCTTCCACTTCTGCCCTAACTGCAACTCCTTAGGTTAGGGGGCTGTGAAGGACCCCCACCCTCAATTTTTGGATAGGTGTATCTTTCTCTCCCTCCCCTAACTTCTGAGGTGGTTCCCTGTTGGATTCAGGCACTGTTCTTCCTTTCCAACCCCATTTCTCCAGCCCATGAGGTTGGGATATTAGGGGCCCAGACCCGGGATGAAGAATCCCAAAATTCTGGGGTTGCAGCAAAGACTGGAGAAGAGGACCACTGAGCCTGAGAAGCCCATGGGCACGGTGGGGCTAAGGCAGGAGTTTAGGAATGGAATGTGGAGCTGAGCTGAGCTGTGCTGGGGGCTATGTGCATGGAGCGCTGGGGGTTGAGCTTTATCAGGTGGGCAATAGGCTGCCCCATTTCCAAGTTCTCCCTTTTATCCCAGCCCTATTCCTTCATCTTGGATGCCTGGGAACTCTTTGTACCCATTGTAGGGAAGGGGACACTGAGGGGCAGAGAGGTGCTGGATTGACTTGGCTGGGGTGATGGGAGTAGGAGTAGGGTCTGACCTATCTCTACCTTCCCACCTGTGCCCACAGTGCCCTCCTGGCTTAGTCATGGCGAAGCTGGAGACACTGCCTGTGCGAGCTGACCCAGGGCGGGATCCTCTCTTGGCCTTTGCCCCACGGCCCTCTGAGCTCGGACCCCCGGATCCCCGCCTGGCCATGGGCAGTGTGGGCAGTGGGGTGGCCCATGCCCAGGAGTTTGCCATGAAGAGCGTGGGCACCCGTACAGGGGGTGGGGGCAGCCAGGGCAGTTTCCCTGGCCCCCGAGGCAGCAGCAGTGGGGCCAGCAGGGAGAGGCCGGGCCGCTACCCGTCAGAGGACAAGGCTCTCGCCAACTCCCTCTACCTCAATGGCGAGCTTCGGGGCAGTGACCACACCGATGTCTGTGGCAACGTAGTTGGCAGCAGCGGTGGCAGCAGCAGCAGTGGTGGCAGCGACAAAGCCCCACCGCAGTATCGTGAGCCCAGCCACCCACCTAAGCTCCTGGCCACCTCTGGCAAGCTAGACCAGGTCAGTCCCCTGGGCCTGAGACCCTCACAGCCTTTTTCTGGTGGTGGGAGGCAATGCAGAGAGGAAGGCAAAGCGGGCCTTCTTGAAGGTTGGGTTGTGGGGGCAGGATGGAGGCTGGGCTGAGGAGTCATGGACTAGGGCCCTGGGACCAAGTCTATTGGGTGGATCCAGGACAGAGATCTGGCTTCAGGGAGCCAAGAGTTGGAAACCCAGTTGGGGGACCTCAGGATGGAGATCCAGTAGGGGTGGGAGGTGGGGCTGGCCAAGTCTCTGCCAAAGGGAAGAGCATGGGCCAAGGCCAAGGCCTCATCCTGACGCCCAGCCCCTTCCTGCCTTTCCTGCAGTGCTCAGAGCCACTAGTCCGGCCATCAGCCTTCAAGCCTGTCGTACCCAAGAATTTCCACTCCATGCAGAACTTGTGCCCCCCGCAGACCAATGGGACTCCTGAGGGACGACAGGGCCCTGGTGGCCTCAAAGGCGGACTGGACAAGTGTCGGACCATGACTCCAGCGGGTGGGAGTGGGAGCAGCCTCTCAGACTCAGGCCGGAACTCCCTCACCAGCCTGCCCACCTACAGCTCCAGCTATAGCCAGCACCTGGCACCCCTCAGTGCCTCCACCAGCCACATCAACCGCATTGGCACTGCCAGCTATGGTAGTGGCAGTGGTGGCAGCAGCGGTGGGGGGTCGGGCTACCAGGACCTGGGGACCTCTGATAGTGGACGGGCCTCCAGCAAGAGTGGGTCGTCATCATCCATGGGGCGGCCAGGCCACCTGGGCTCTGGGGAGGGTGGAGGTGGAGGCCTGCCGTTTGCGGCCTGCTCACCGCCCTCGCCCAGTGCACTCATCCAGGAGCTGGAGGAGCGGCTGTGGGAGAAGGAGCAGGAGGTGGCAGCTCTGCGGCGCAGCCTGGAGCAGAGCGAAGCGGCGGTGGCCCAGGTGCTGGAGGAGCGGCAGAAGGCGTGGGAGCGGGAGCTGGCCGAGCTGCGGCAGGGCTGCAGCGGGAAGCTACAGCAGGTGGCCCGCCGTGCCCAGCGTGCCCAGCAGGGCCTACAGCTGCAGGTGCTGCGGCTGCAGCAGGACAAGAAGCAGCTGCAGGAGGAGGCGGCCCGGCTGATGCGGCAGCGGGAAGAGCTGGAGGACAAGGTGGCCGCCTGCCAGAAGGAGCAGGCCGACTTCCTGCCCCGGATGGAGGAAACTAAGTGGGAGGTGCGGGCTGGAGATCTGGGCCTCCCTGTCTGCCTCCCTTCTGTCCTTCTGGGAAATCCCAGAGTAGTTGCCCCTCACTATTATAACGGGCGATGAAAGAAGCAGGGGTGGCAAAAATCAATTGGGAGTGTCTGTGAGGACCGGAGGCCATACCCAGGCTGGGTGAGACATGTCCATCCTGAGTCCAGGCAGGGAACCAGGGGCATTGCTGCTGATGAGGGGCTGAGTCTGCTCCAGGAATCTTGGTGCCCCTGGCTCCAGATCTGGCGGCTGGGTTGGGGTGAGCAGAACTCTGCCTTGACCCGGCTTCTCCTCTCACCTGTTCCTGCCCAGGTGTGCCAGAAGGCTGGCGAGATCTCCCTCCTGAAGCAGCAGCTGAAGGACTCGCAGGCGGATGTGTCGCAGAAATTGAGTGAGATCGTGGGGCTGCGCTCGCAGCTGCGGGAGGGCCGGGCCTCGCTGCGGGAGAAGGAGGAGCAGCTGCTCAGCCTGCGGGATTCCTTCAGCAGCAAGCAGGCCAGCCTGGAGCTGGGCGAGGGCGAGCTGCCTGCCGCCTGCATCAAGCCGGCGCTGACCCCCGTGGACCCGGCCGAGCCACAGGAAGCGCTGGCCACCTGCGAAAGCGACGAGGCTAAGATGCGCCGTCAGGCCGGGGTGGCTGCCGCCACCTCCTTGGTTTCCGTGGACGGGGAGGCGGAGGCCGGCGGGGAGAGCGGGACGCGGGCCCTGCGGCGGGAGGTGGGGCGGCTGCAGGCCGAGCTGGCGGCTGAGCGGCGGGCCCGGGAGCGCCAGGGTGCCAGCTTCGCAGAGGAACGCCGCGTGTGGCTGGAGGAGAAGGAGAAGGTGATCGAGTACCAGAAGCAGCTGCAGCTGAGCTACGTAGAGATGTACCAGCGCAACCAGCAGCTGGAGCGCCGGCTGCGGGAGCGTGGGGCCGCAGGGGGTGCGAGCACGCCCACTCCGCAACATGGCGAGGAGAAGAAGGCATGGACCCCCTCCCGCCTCGAGCGCATTGAATCCACAGAAATCTGATCGACCTGGGCACTTGGCCTTATGACAAATGTCCTGTCAAAAGGCCAGAGTCCCCAGTGTCCCCTCCCCTCCACCTCTTTTCCCCATAGACCCCATATCCCCAGACCAAAGAGGTTCTCTAAGCAGCTGTGACCAGGTTCCTCCCTCCCCACCTGCCCTCCCAGCTCCAGCACTGCCCCTGTGGCAGCCCACTCGGACCCTCCTAAAAAAAGGGAATAGGGGGAGGGCAGGATAAGTGAGGGTGATTCTAGGTGGTGGGGAAGTCATGCTCCCTTTCTTGGCACCCCCTTGTTGGAGATAGAGGCAGCAGGCCTGCAGTGATGAGGTGCCCCAGTCCTTCTGGGGATCTGGGCTGCTACTGTTGGCCCCCCTGTGTCTAGTGATGCTCACTGTGCTCACCTCCTAGGCCAAAGGAGCCTGAGGGGGCCTGCACTGGGTTTGCTGAAACTGACAGACCCTGGGCTCCTGACCTCTCTCCTTCCTGTAGTCCTCTCCCTCCCTGGGTAGATTGGCAGGACAAGTGGGAGCAGATGGCCTGCCTGTGGTTGAGAGGGCTACCTGCCCAGTCCCTCCCCCACCAAGGTCTCGGGCTCAGGCCTCAGAGCCTGGCCTGGTCGTGAGTGTGTGTCCCTGTGTGTGTGTTGCGGGAGGGGAGGGCTGGGGCTGGAAGTCCAGCACCCAGGGAAGACCTGCCCTCCTGTTCTTGGGAAGGGTTGCCTGACAGCTTCTCAACTCTACCCTCACCCTTCTGGCCAGAATCCCGCAGGGCAACAGCCCCCTCTGCTTGACTGACCCCACACCCAGGGCCACTGTCCGGCTCTAATACAGCTATTAAGTGCTACCTGCCTCTCAGGCACTCTCCCCGCCCAGTTTCTGAGGTCAGATGAGTGTCTGCGATGTCTTCCCGCACTATATTCCCCGGCCTCTTTCTGCTTTCATGCTCAGCATATCATCTTCCTAGGCAGCCTCTTCCCCAGTCTCACCTTTTCTTCCAGTAGAAAATTCTGCTTGACCTTTGGTGCACTACCCACTTCCCAGCTCCACTGGCCCAAGTCTGAGCCGCAGGCCCTTGTTTCAGGGGCAGGGGGAGGGTTGGATGTGATTGCCCTTGAAGAACAAGGCTGACCTGAGAGGTTCCTGGCACCCTGAGGTGGCTCAGCATCTGCCCAGGGTAGGCCTGGTATGAGGGGTTAGGTCAGCCAATGTCAGTTCCTCCTCTTGGGGCCCTCTCAGAGTCCATCTCCCCAAGACAGGAAGGGAAAAGCAAATTTCTAATTCACCAGCAATAAAAATTGGAGGAGGCTTGGCCCTCAGCCCTTATATTTCTCTTTTTCACTCTCTCTTCCTCCCACCCCCAAGACTGAGTTTGGGGGGGCAGGGTGGAGAGAGCTGGCAACTACTGTGAGCAAGTCCCCCAGCCCCTGACCAGCCTCCTTCCATGACTGGTGACTGTTTAATGAGCTGTGCATCCCCCACAAAAACATGAGTGCCCCTCTGTTTGGCCTCTAACCCTCTGCACAGCCCTTCTGGGTGGTCCTCACCAGTTCTCAGAGCTGGGTGGGAGGCCACCCTGGCAACCACTGCCCATTCCATTTACCCCTCACTGCACCTGCCCTAGAACCTGGGCCTAGGCCACAGGGGCAGGGAGAAGAGAAGGCATTAGTAAGAAAAAAAAAAATAGAAAAAAAAATATGAACAGACTCAGCTTTGGGACGTCCAACCACAAAAGAAATTATATACAAATATATATAAATATATATCTCTACCATATGTGATGGAAAGACTTTTTGTTTTCCTTTCCCAAAGAAATAAAATGGAGAAAGCCTCTTTAGTGGTATTCTTTGGCCTGCTGGTGTCTTTGCAGGTGTGGGAGGTGAGGCCCGGGTAGGGGACAAGGGGCAAAGCTGGAGTAAACAGATTCCCCAGAGGAAGCATGAGACGGGAGGTGCTCACTGGCCCATGCCAGAATGTTGGCCCAAAGCCCAAGCTCTGCCATGTTGCTCGGGAAGAGTCGTGGTTCAACGTTTTTGCCCAGTGGGTCTTTCTCTTCACCTTAGACTGTTGTCAAAGGGATTTCAAGCTGGTTCTATCTCAGAATCTGGACGCTAAGCTGCTAACCAGAAAACAGGTGACAGGACAGCCAGATGCAGCCTGCAGTCGCCTAAGCTACCCTACAGCAACTGGCAGATTTGCAGGCTGAACGTATAGACATGAAGACTGAGAACAGGTTTGCCGTTAATGGTGAAGCCCCAAAGGCAAAGGGACCCAAGCGTACTGCACAGCAGAGAGCTTCCCTTTACAACACTTTATTCTGTCATACTCTCAAAGCACCACAATCAAGAACGCATTCTGCTATAAGTAACACATAGGACCTCAAAGAATGGTTTATTTTTTCCCAACCTGACAAGAAATCGGGAAGTGGGTGTCATGGTTGTTGGATCACTGGGGACCTAGATTTTCATCCTTCCACTGTCCCATCCTTAGCATATTGTTTCCTCCTTACCACAAGGTGGCTGCCACAGCTCCGTGAAGGTCTTGAGGCTACCCCACTTTATCACGAAAGTGGCCTGCTTTCCCAGGACCCTTCCCTTTAAGTCCTGTTGGCCAGAACTGAGTCACATGCTCCTCCCACTTCAAGGGAGAATGGGAAATTGAATATTACAAAGAGAAACAGGATTGTCATGGCTGCCTGGGAACAAACATGGTTCATTCCTTCGGGTTAGGCTCTCTGCTTTCTCTGGGTTCTACTGGCAAGGACAGAGTCATAGCAATGAATAGTGTTTGCCCTGGTCTGGCCTGAGTGAGAGAACCCTCTCCAAGCAGCAGTGTCTGTGGTCTGGGGCTCCAGATACTCAAACAGCGCTGTTTCCAGAGCTCAGGGGTTGGGATGCCAGGCTTGCACCTCCTTTCGGGGAGGTGTTCTCCCTACATTGATTTTGGCTTCCTGACAAGATGGTGCCCTGGAGGGAAAATGATTTCATAACTCTCCCTCGCAGCCCTTAGGATGTGTGGACTGGTAGAGCGAAGGCATTGACAAGATATGAAAACCCTGATAAGCAGATCTCAAGTGCTCTCAGGAATGGCAGCCTGGGGCCAGGCCTTTCTGATAGGTAGAGGCTTAGTAGAGTCTTTTTCTTTTTTTTTTTTTTTT